TGCAGTGAGCTGAAATGAAATTGCATCACTGCACTCCAGCCTGGCCAACAGAGTGAGACTCTGTCTCAAAAGAAAAGAAAAGAAAAGAAAACACAATCAGTATCCCCTATGTGATTTGAGAAAGGCTTCTTGCAGGAGATAGGTTTAAAACTAGTGTCTGAGTCACTTCACCACTTTCTCCTTAACCCCTTAAATTCTCCTGCCACCCTATCTTGTCCCAGATGCCCCTGGTTAAGCCCCATTTCTCTCCCTGGACTCTGCTCTGGGGCTGCTGAGCCATGCTAAAGAAAGAATCATGGGGCCTCTGCAAATGTGAGGATCCCAGCCCTGGATGCATACCCCCTTTAAGCTGTCTGGCAGTTCCCTTATACATTTTCCAAACAGGCAAATCCAACGTGTCCAAGACTTCAACCAGCTTTGGCTAGTGGCAGGGTCTTCCCTGGTCGCGGAAAGATACCCTGGCTTCCGGCAATGGCTGAAGAGCCCCAGCACTGCCATGGGACCCAGGCCTCTGGCCACCTTGCATTCCCGTGCACCTGCCCGCTTCCCCCAGCCCTGTGATGTCTCTCCTGTGCGTGGTGCTATTTGGATTCTTAGTGCCCTCTCATGCTGCAGGTTGGGTCCTTGAAGCTGAGAATGCCTGACACCCCAGAGTGGCTCTTTCCTCAGGGTCTCCGCACTCGGGGATCCTTGGCCCCAGCAGGCTCAAGATCTGGGAGATAAGATATGTGACTCCATAGAGACCCCCTTCCTCCTGAGTGCCCTCTCTGTCCACTACCCTCACGAAAGACACCTCAAACTCTCACTTGACTCCCTGTCCATTTATCTGATTCATGGCAGACACCCAGCCATCCTTGTCCCTGACGACACCAGAAAGGAAGCCCTTTGGCAGCCTTTTCTTTCTTTTTTCCTTTTTTCTTTTCTTTTCTTTTCTTTTTTTTTTTTTTATAAAGATGGGGTTTCACCATGTTGGCCAGGCTGGTCTTGAACTCCTGACCTCAGGTGATCCACCCACTTCGGCCTCCCAATGGCAGCCTTTTCTTCCCATTAAAAACTTGTGGACAGTGGATGCTGGGTGCCGTGGCTTGTGCCTACAATCCCAGCACTTTGGGAGGCCAAGGTGGGAGGATCATCTGAAGTCAGAGTTCAAGACCAGCCTGGCCAACACGGCAAAACCCCGTCTCCACTAAGAATACAAAAATTAGCCAGTCGCGGTGGTGCAAGCACACCTGTATTCCCAGCTACTTGGAAGGCTGAGGCAGGAGAATTGCTTGAATCTGGGAGGTGGAGGCTGCAATGAGCTGAGATCACGCCACTGCACTCCAGTCTGGGGGCAGAGCAAGATTCCATCTCAAACAAACAAACAAAACTTGTGGACTCCGTCTCTCCTACTCCTGCTCCCGTCTCAGAGGAAGAGATCTGCCTTCTGCTGTCCAGAGCTACTCTATTTCCTCAGGAACTTGGTCCCATCAGTTTGTGCCTCTTTATTAATAGTGTAGAGTGTAAGACCTTGGAAAAGTGGGTCCTGACGCTTGTTTAGTGGCTTTTGTGACCTTGGGCAGTCCAAATGACCTTTCTAAGCCTCAACGTTAACATCTGTAAAATAGAAGTGTAATAGACAGTTCTATCCTTGGAATCCTTCGGGAATTGGTTCCAGGACCCCCTTGGATACTAAAATCTGAGGAGACTCAACTTCCTGATATAAAATGGTGCAGAAGTATTTGTGTGTCACCAAAGTACAACCTCTTGTGTACCTTAAATAATTTCTAGATTACTTATAAGACCTAATACTATATAAATGTTATGCAAATAGTTCTTCTATGGTATTATTATTTTTTAGATATTGCCTATCTACTGTGGGTTAGATCTGAGAATGTATAGCCAGGTGTGGTGGTGGGCACCTGTAATCCTAGCTACTTAGGAGGCTAAGGCAGGAGAATTGCTTGAGCCCAAGAGGTGGAAGTTGCAGAGAGCTGAGATTGCATCGCTGCACTCCAGCCTGACTGATAGAGTGAGACTCTGTCCAAAAAAAAAAAAAAAAAAAAAAAAAAAAAAAAAAAAAAATCTGTGGCTGTAGAATCTGTGGATACAAATGACTAACTACATATGCCTTGTGAGATTCTCATGGTATCAAATGAGGTTTATCAGATAAAGCGCATAGCCCAGTTTCTAGCACTCAACAAATAAAACAGTGCTCCTCCCTCCCCCACACACTCAGAAGATGTCCTCACCTTCCACTTCCTTGAAAAAACAGAAATCTTTGATGGAAAGTCCTGGAACCTGCAGTTGCTCCTAGGCCCAAGCTGTCCTATTCTAATCCTCTTTCAGAGACTTCCCTTCCTCCCATCCAAGGCAACCATTGTCCTGTGCCTGGATCTATCCCCACTGGACACAGGAGCCTCGTTCCCCTGTCACCCCATCCCATGACTCCCTCACAGTACTGGCTTCCCCCTCGGCATGCTGAAGGCCTTAAACCACCCCCTTCTTCAAAAGAGAAGCACAGGACCTGGTTTGGCCTCCCTTCCGGCTCCTGGAGGAGCATCTCGTAGAGCTGCAGCACCACAGGGCATGTCCTCTGCCCTTCTCTGGGAAACGTTTACTGTGCGAGGGACCTGTCTCTGGGACCAGCTTTGGTCTTGAGATAATCTGAGATCATCCATTTCAGCCACCCCATGGGTTTCGGGATCTGGGGTGCTTCTCCGAGGGCCAGAAAGGCTTCCACCTCTTGGGATCACTGGGGATAAGGGCTCAGCACTGGACCCTCCTCGTCCCCCTTTCAGGGCCTGATGCCATCTGGTGCCTTCCAGTGCAGACCTTCAATGCTGGCTATGCAGTCCCTTGGGTCTGTTTCCACTGGGGCCCCGACCTCCCCCACCCTCGTCCCTACCCTGGAAGAGAGTGTAGCAGGAGCCCTGGGTGCCCATCCATCCTGGGATAAAGGTTAAGCCCTGGGGGAGGTGACCCCAGGGACTGTGGTCGAGGACCAGCCAGTCAATGCCAGAGAACCCCTGTGGCCTCTGTGGCCCCCGGTGGGACAGTATGTTGATGGTTTAACAGGAATGTGCCGACGGTGGCATGCAGCTCGGGAGAGGGTGATCAGGGCTGAGAGAGAGGCCTAGGAGATGCCATGCTGCCCCATGACAAAGGAAATGAGATTGAGGCAAGGCCATGAAGTGCATGGCTATGACAGGTGTCTGCTTGGCATAGTGGTTTGGGTGAGGAGGTGAAGTAGCTGGGAAACTTCCTGTTGAACTTGCAGTCATGGGCACCTTGTAATCCAATGGACCAACGCTTCATCACCATGAAAACATCACGAGGCTTTTTGTTTCTTTGTTTATTTGAGACAGCCTCACTCTGGAATGCAGTAGCGTGATCTCGGCTCACTGCAACCTCGACCTCCTGGGCTCAAGTGATCCTCCTGTCTCAGCCTTCCGAGTAGCTGGGACTACGGGTGTGCACCACCATGCCTGGCTAATTTTTGTATTGTTTTGTAGAGACAAGGTTTTTCTATGCTGCCCAGGCTGGTCTAGAACTCCTAGTCTCTAGTGATTTTCTTGCCTCAGCCACCAAAGTGCTGGGATTACAGGCATGAGCCACTGTGCCCAGCCATCATGAGGGTTTTGAGGAAGGAAGGAAGGAAGGAAGGAAGGAGAGAGAGAGAGAGAGAGAGAAGAAGAAGAAGAAGAAGAAGAAGAAGAAAGAGGAGGAAGAGGTGAAGGAGGAGGAAGGGGAAGAAAGGGAGAAAGAGAATAAGATAGAAAAAGAAGAAAGAAACAGAGAGATGGAGAGGGAGGAAGGAAGGAAGGAGAGCGAAAGAGAGAAAGAAGAAGAAAAAGAAGAGGAGGAGGAGGAGGAACGGAGGAGAAGAAATGGAGAAAGAACAAAATAGAAAGAGAAAGAAGACGAAAGAAAGAGAAAGGGAGAAAGGGGGAGGGAGGAGGGAAGGAGGAAGGAAGGGAGGGAGGGAGGAGAGAAACCCCCACACAACCTGGCTTAAGCAAAGAAAATCATTTGCTGACCCATGTTACTTAAACAGCTGAACTTGGCTTTAGGCCCAGTGAGGTATCCCAGCTCCAGTGGTAGCCTCCAGGCCTTAGTCTCTCTCTCTCTCTGCCAGTTCAGCTCTGTCTTTGTGGTGGCAAGGACCGTTCACTGTCTCATCCTCTCAGCAACCCCCAAGGAGACAGCTTCTCCGCATGGCTTTGAGCGATGTCCTAGCGCCAAGCTTCATCAGCCTGGCCCAGCTCACCTGTCTGTCCTTGATGCCAGAGGAGCGGAATGATCGGGCTGGCCGGAAGCGGGAGTCAGCCGTCAGTTCTAGCCAGTTTCACGGGGACTGAGAATGGGGCACAGATGGCTGCCCACTGCCCAGCAGGATGGATGTAGAAAGGCAGAATAGTCGATGTCCATTACACATCATCCTGTCTGGGAATGGCACAGGAACAGCTGGGCTCGCAGAAAACTAGGGGCCAGTCAAAACCCACTGGTGATTTTAGAATAATCTCTCCTGCTCTAAAGCCCTAGGGGTAGGTTTGTGAGGGTTCAGAGGTGGAGTGTGGGTTGTTGGTGAGGTCTTGCCCAGAGACCAGTGGACCTCAGCTTTCCCAACTGGGGGCCCTATTCCTTCAGTCTTGAACTCTGGCTCCGGTGGGTCTTAGGTTATAGGTCCATGGGTCATGAGTTCTGGGCATAAACAAGCTCTGTCCTTCTCTTCCTTCTTCTTTCCTGCATACAATCAAGGGATGAAGCCATATCACCTACCTCAAAAGCATCAGAGACCCGCGTCTCTTCCAGCAGCCTGAGAGGCCTGAGGCTTCCCTGCCTTGGCCTCTCAGCAGAGTTCCTGGGGGCTGCTGGCCCCAGCCACTTCCCCTCTTCAGGCCATCTCTAGGGTTCAATCCTATCTGAAACCCTCCCTGGCAATGCTAGGGCTGAGCGTTCCAGAGATGGGGCTGTTCAGACTACCCCTCCGGGCTAAAAGGAGCACACACCATGACATAGAAGACAGCACGCCTTTATTTCAGCCACCCTGCCAGGACCCAAACACCATGGCACATGGCCTGGTATCCACAGTGCCAGGTCCCCAAGAGCCCGGAGAACACAGCCCAGCAACGCAGTGCCACAAATCCCTGCCAAGGAACAGTTCACCCCACCTCCTCAAAGCGGAGTGTCTGGGGTCCACTGCAGATGGGGACAGGGAGCAGGGCCCAGATCCTGAAGGGCAGCACAAAGAAAAGGTGCCCGGTGAGCCCCGGGACACGCTGTAGAGCCTCTGCTGTGGGACTGAAGCCGCAGCTGTGGTAGGTCCCTGCTTTGGCCATCACTGCTCTGCCAGCTACAGAGCCATCCCCAAGGCAAGGACAACCCCAAGTGTGGGCTCCTGGCGCAGGCCAGCTGGCAGAGGTAGTGTAAACACATCTGAAGGTGGGGGGTGTCCAGTGACTAAGCCAGGCCCCTGTGCTCTCCTGCGCTGGGAGCTGCCCACGTCCCAGGAACAGCAGGGTGAAGAGGCCCTGAGTCAGCAGGGTACTTCCTAGGCCCGGTCAACTGGAACACTCACTGGGCCCAGGAAATACGATTTCCAGAGAAATGGTGGAAACGGTAGAGAAAGGCAAGGAGAGACTGCCAGGCAGAAAGGGGTTGGTGGGGACACAGAGAGAGGAGAATAGGGCAGAGAGGGAGACAGGAACAGAGAGAGGGGAGGCTGAGGTGCAGAGAGGAGACTGAGGCTTCGTCTTCCCCCTTCTCTTTTCCCACTAGACCTGTGAACTCTGGGGTGGGGGTTCCCCAAGTTCTTCTAGCTGGGAATGGGTCAGGGCTCTTCTCCCCATCACATCCTGTCACTTGAGATTGAGGCCAGCCTGGGAAGGAGGCTGAGTGAAGCTGGGAAGGGACAGGCTCAGTCCTGCCCACTCCACCTCCACTTCAAACTGGATCCAACCTCTGGCTCATCCTCCTCTGCTTCCGGGAGGAGCCCTGCCAAGCCTGTTCAAGCTAATCCCTCTGCACTTAAGCCTGGATTCTTCCTTGAGGCTGCTGAAATCACACACCGTGAGCTACTCCAGAGCCTTGCAGGCAGGGAGAGAGGGAAGGAAGGGAAAGGGAGCAGGGTCGGGAACAGGAGGGAAGAGGCAGGGGGTTGAGAGCTCTGTCCACACGGTCAGATCCAAGGCCAGAGATGTCAACCTGCCCTTCAATCCCTGGGACCTAAGTACAGAGAAAATATTAAGGAAAATCTTCCAGAATGTCAATAACTTTGAAAAATGTGTGTGTGTGCATATCTGGTTTTTGTTTTTCATCTTTAATCCATCGTATTTGAACAGAATTTAAAATGTTTTAAAATTGCCCGAAATTGCTCGCTCTAGCAATATCACCTTAGGTAAACCAGAACTTACAAGTGCTGGACTTTTATTTTTGATACATTCTTCCTTCACCTTTAGGAAGAAGGGGAACACCACTAAGCTTGTGGAAGTCATGAATCAGTTTTAAAAAAAAAAAAGGCAAAGCCCCTTCCAGGAGCCCCTATAATCCTAATATCTGCTAAGGAGTCCCAAGCTCAATGTCTACAGGCACCAGGCGGGAACATAAAGGAATGTTCAGAAAATCTTGGTTTCTTGACGTCTGTGGGGAGTGGCGACATCTGGTTAAAGGGGGCTGTTGCTGTTTCGCTGCAGCAGATTGTGGTTAAGTGGTGAAGCAAGCCCCACGTGGGGCTTCCGACTTCAAGAGAAGGAGGAAATCTGCCATACATTTTTAAAATGTGGAAGCTCTTGATTTTTAAATGTTACCTCAAAACAAAACACCCTATAGGCCAAACAAAACAAGTTTGGTGGCTAGTTTCCAGCCTGGCTTTTATGAAATCTTAGAGATTCCAAGATATAAGGATCCTAGGATGATTTAGTTCTATGATGAAGAAAATTTAATGAGCATGTCAATATCTTGTGGGAACTTGTTAAAATGCAGGTGCTGACTCAGCAGGTCTGGGGTGGGGCATTGAGAGCCTTCATTTCTATCGACCCAGGCTCACCAACCACGCTTGGGGTAGGGAGGGTTTAGTTTCAGAATTCCCTCTCACTGTCCTACCCCTGGTCAACGATGTCTCCAGTTCTACCTTCATACCTCCAGGCACTAGACACTCACTACGTCTGGTGCACTGCTGCTAACTTCTTCCAGGGTCTGTAGCAATAGTGATGGACACCAAGAGTCAAACACACCAAGCCCAGGCTCTGGAAACTCAGAGTGTCACAAAGGAAACTTCAGCTGGGGACTTGCCAGGACAGGGCATTGATAATTGTTGCAAAGATCTAAGCAGAGGTCAGGCGCGGTGGCCCAACCTGGAATCCCAGCATTTTGGGAGGCTGAGGTGGGCAGATCACTTGAGGTCAGGAGTTCAAGACCAGCCTGGGCAACATGGTGAAACCCCGTCTCTACTAACATCACCAAAAAATTACCTGGGCATGGTGGTGGGCACCTGTAATCCCAGCTACTCAAAAGGCGGAGGCAGGAGAATCGTTTGAATCTGGGAGGTGGAGGTTGCAGTGAGTCGAGACTGTGTCACTGCACTGTACTCCAGCCTGTGTGACAAAGCGATACTCAGAAAAAGCAAAAAAAATTTCTAAGCCGAGAGGATTTTCTGTCCAACTGCTTGCTCAGCAGCTCCTAGTTAAACAGAGAATGCTACTCTGCTTCAGATGTTCTGGTTAGTAAGGGTTTGGTGCAATTTCCCTTCCTTTTCCCAAGGCCTTGAAGCAAGCTTTTCTCTGCACTTGGGCAAGTTACCTGGTTATGCCCACAGAAGGAGCCAGTTTCTGACTGGTGGGAGATGGAGACAGGAATGAAGCTTGAGGCTAAACAGAAGCCCTTGCCCCCTCAGGCCATGGGACAAACCCTTCTCGGGTGGAACGGGAGAACTCCACTTCCTCTGGGACTGGGGCATCCAATCTCTGTTCCTCCTTCCTGGGTCCTTGAGAGACACTGGGAAGTGGAGACTCCCTGACCCTGACATCCCTGATGGACTCAGGGTTCCTGGGGCTGAGGGCCACAAGCCACCCAGCTGTCAGGTGCACAGGGGCCATGGAGACCACTGAGGCCACCCCTCATTTCGCCACTGAGGGGATCACAGCAGAGAGTGCGTGAGACTTTCCCAAGGTCACATGGCTGGCTTGCAACCAGATCTTGTAAAGGCCCCAAATCCTTTGAGGCAGAGCTGGGCAGAGTCCGCCAGCATTAGCCAGACTTCCGGTCACCTATAGCAGCAACTTTCAGGAAAAGGGCCTTCCAGAGCAATCCTGAAGAAAAGAGGGGTATCTCAGAGGGAAGTCGAGGAAAGGGGTCATGGGGGTTCACCCAAGAAGGAGCCGGTCACGGATCAGAGTTTCTTGCAGGAGGGGAGTGGGCAGGGCTTCTGCTTTCACATTGTCCTCTGGTGACTGCTGCCCCCTAGAGTTGTCTCTCGTGCAGTGCACAGCTTGTGAGATTTCTGGGGACGCCAGGTTTATGCGCTGGGGATGGGATAGGGCCAGGGGAGGGGTCACAGAAGGCCTTGGTTATAGGGTTTTCCAAGCCTGGATTCCCAGACCACTCCAGACCTACTGAGCCAAAATTCCTCCCGCGGGTGCTTTCCTCCCAGGGGAAGCTCCTGGGTTTAGGAACCAGCCCGGGCTAAGTCAGAAAGCGATCGGGACACCTGGCTCGGGTGGGACGTTCTGCAGGCAGCAGAGAGGATGCGCCGGCTGGGGCGGGGGCTGAGTGGGGCAGCACCTGTTCGGGGCCGGGCCTTACTTCTCAAGAGAACTGGCCAGGCCGCGCCTTCTCCAGCTTCCGTCGCCGCTCGGGTGGGATCTCCTGCAGGCTGATGCCGTGGTTGCTGGCCCTGCGAGGAGGGAGCGGTGGCCTCAGGGAAGGGGAATGGGGGTGCGAGGGCAGGCCCAGGTCATCGCTGCTTCGCGTGCGGGGGTCAGACACAAAGCGGGAGGAAGGGATCCCTCGTCTCTCGCCCTTCCACGGAGGCCGGCCTCTCACCCCGGTTGCAGGTCAGGCGGTTTGGGGATGGGCTTGTTGAAGCCGCGTCTGCCTACTAGCCAGAAAGTGTCCTCGGCGCCCTTGCCCTGGGGAGACACGAAAGAGGGAAGGACTTAGGTGGGCTGGGTTGAGCGGTGGGGGATCTCGAGGTCTGGATGGAACTAGGAGACCCGGTCAGGAAGGGTGAGCTGAGGCTGCGGCTGCGGCCCGGGAGGGGCGGGGCCTCTGGAAGAAATTGGGGGCTTAGGGTGGGCGGGGCCTCCGGGAGGGGGCGGGGCCCCGCTTCACCTTCAGCTCCGTGCGGCCTCGCAGCTCCACCTGGTAGCCCGAGTCCAGAGCTCGGAGAATCCCCACAGTGCTCAAGTTCACGTGGATGCGGTAAGCTGTAGTGGTGGGGGAGGCCGTGAGTTCGGGACTCGCCTCCCGTGTCCCCTTCCCACCTCCCCCTCTTGTCCCGGTCACACTCACGCAGCCCGGTGGACTCCATGCGCGAGGCGGTGTTGACCGTGTCCCCAAACAGGCAGTACCGCGGCATGGTGAGGCCCACCACGCCCGCCACGCATGGACCTGTGGAAATGCTAGGGGTCGGCGGGGATCTTCGCACCCATGATCTCCACCAGCTACCCAAATAAGCCCTGTGAATTGCCTCCTCTACAGGAAATCCGGAGCCAGGCCCTAAAGAGGGAGATGGGCTGGAGCCCGCGAGGACCGGGAGTTACCCGAGTGCAGGCCAATGCGGATGCGCACGGGCACCTCAGGCATATGGCGCATGCGGAAGGTGCCCACGGCGCTGAGGATGTCCAGCGACATGTTGGCGATCTCTGCCGCGTGCCGCTGCCCATTCCGCTGAGGCAGCCCCGAGGCCACCATATAGGCGTCCCCTATGGTCTCCACCTGGGGGAAGGAGTTGTGCGAATTCCGTTTTGAGCATTCCTCCCCCAGTACACGAAGTGATTGCCTCTTGTCACGGGGCCCACCTGGGGTTAGTGCAGAGCCAGGTTGCTAGCTGAGGACTGAGCTGGGGACTGGAGGAATACGTAAGGGACAGGCGGTCTGGGAAAGAAGATTGACTGGGCAGAAAGGCTAGGGGCTGAGCAGGAAGGGCTGCGCTGGAGGCTGGGAAGGTCAGGAGGGCTTGTCCACTACACACTTCACCTTGTAGACATCGTGGGAACCAATGATGGCATCGAACAGCGTGTAGAGGTCGTTGAGCAGGTCCACCACCTCAATGGGCTCACTCATGGCAGAGATGGTGGTGAAACCCACAATGTCACTGAAGTACAGTGTCACTTGCTCAAAGTACTCAGGCTCCACTGGTGTCCCTGTCTTCAAGGCCTCAGCCACAGACCTAGGGATGGCAGACAGGGAGGTCGCCTGGGGGCCACTCTGCCTGGCTGGGCTCCAGCTGCCCTCCCGGCCCACCCCTTCCCCACTGGCACCCACGGAGGCAACATCTGTGTCAGCAGCCGGTCTGTCTTCTGCTTTTCCAGCTCCAGCTCCTCTGTTCGCTCCCGGATCAAGTCCTCCAGGTTACTGGAGTACTGCTCCAGCATCCGAAGCATGGAGTCAATGATGTTTGTCTTCCGGCCCTTGTTGATGTTCTTGAACTAGCAGTAGAAGGAGGCTGGTGAAGCTGCTGAAGACCTGGGCTGCCATGCCCCCCTTCATAGGCCCTCTCACAGGCTGTTCATTCCTGACCACCATTCATCTACTATTTGTCAAGCACCCCTAGGGCGCTGTGCACCGTGTTTACAGACACGATTAGAAGGCAAGTGGGAAATGAGGGTTCCAGAGGTCAGTTGTTCTCAGCTAGTAATTGACAGGGCACTGGAGCCAGCCCAATCATTGGACTCTCAGGCCAAGGGTCTTTCTGTCACAGCAGGCCAAGCGCTGTGATTACTTGGTTCGTAATCAATGTTATTTGAATTGAATTGAATATTTCTCTCACCCAGACAGAACTCTATCTCCTACTCCAAAGGCTTCCACAGCCCCAATTCTAATTCTGCCCCACCAAACCCTGAGCCCTCATGCTACTCCTTAGGAGGTAGCCTGGAAGGCCAGAGGTCCTGCCAGCCTGCCCGCCTGCAGCTGTCCCAGGTTGCTGGCAAGAATCTGGGATCCCAGAGGCCAGCCCAGTCCTTGCCCACTCCCAGCCCCTGACCAGGTCGAAGGTGAGGTCCATGGAAGGCCGAAGTTCCGGCTGCTCCGCCCAGCACTGCTTCATCAGGTGAATGCACTCGACGGGTGCCTGGTCCATGGACACCAAGGGCCGACACAGAGGAGGGGGGCTCCGTACCCTCTGCACCACTTCTGGAGGTATGAAGGGACAGTGAGGGGGGTTCCCCAGAGCACAAGCTGCCTCTGACCCTGGCCTGACTGTTGAAGACCAAGATTGGGGGTCAGTAAGAGCTGACACAGGCACAGAAACTAACATTTATTGTATGTAAGAAAAGTGAGGGATAGGCCAGGCAAGGTGGCTTATGCCTATAATCCCAGCACTTTGGGAGGCGAAGGTGGGTGGATCATGAGGTCAGGAGCTCCAAATCAGCCTGGCCAACATAGTGAAACCCAGTCTCTACCAAAAATACAAAAAATTAGCCAGGTGTGGTGGTGGGCGCCTGTAATCCCAGCTACTTGGGAGGCTGAGGCAGGAGAATTGCTTGAACCCGGGAGGCGGAGGCTGCAGTGAGCCGAGATCGTGCCATTGCACTCCAGCCCGGGCGACAGTGTAAGATTCTGGCTTAAAAAAAAAAAAAAGGAAAGTGAGGGATAGGTGATCAAGTAACTTACTCAGACTCCTGTGTAGAAGGGATGCAGATGGGAACCAGATTGGACTACCCTTTTACCCACTCCCCACTCTGCTCCTCCCAGGGACCCCTGAGAACCAGAGAGGAGCCTGCTCTGTCAGTGTGGGAGCAGGTTGGGTCCAAGATCAAGAGAGAGGAAGCTGTTGTGGTCTGGAACCTAATGACCACCCTGTGCACCCTGGTCATCATGCGTGGCTTTCCACACCCTGATCCACACACGCTAGCTTTAAGGGGGCCTCCGCATAATTAAATTTCATCACTGGACTTTGCTTTGGAGAAAAGAGTGAGGCTGGCTGTGTCCTAACTGCAGGGTGCCCCTCTGCCACACTCCATGCCTGGGGCAGCCTTACCCTCGGGAGTCAGCTCCAACATGGCGTAAGGGGCACTTCGGCATACCACTTCCTGCATGATGATGCCCAGGCTAAAGACGTCGCCGGCCAGCGTCCCCTTGCGCTCCAGGGCCGGGTCTCTAAGCAGCTCGGGGGCTGTCCACAGCAAGTCTGAGGATGGGGAAGTGGCTGTGGGGGAGCTGGGGAAAGACTCCCACCCTCACCAGAGAGCCCAGGTTCGCACCCAGACACCACCAACTCTGCAGCCTGAGACCAGCCCTGCAGCCCTGCAACTATATATATATATATATTTTTTTTTTTTTTTTTTTGAGACGGAGTTTCGCTCTTGTTACCCAGGCTGGAGTGCAATGGCGTGATCTCAGCTCACCGCTACCTCCGCCTCCTGGGTTCAGGCAATTCTCCTGCCTCAGCCTCCTGAGTAGCTGGGATTACAGGCACGCGCCACCATGCCCAGCTAATTTTTTGTATTTTTAGTAGAGACGGGGTTTCACCATGTTGACCAGGATGGTCTCGATCTCTTGACCTCGTGATCCACCCGCCTCGGCCTCCCAAAGTGCTGGGATTACAGGCTTGAGCCACCGCGCCCGGCTTCCCTGCAACTATATCTAGGAGAGATCTCAGAGAAAGCCCGACCCTCACAAATAGGCCTTCCCCTTCAGACAAGGTGGTGCCCACGGAAGGCTCCGCCCCTTGGACACAAGCCCCACCCGCAGGCAAACTTCCACTTAGGGCAGACCCCGCTGCAGGGAGCTCAGGCACAGGTCCTGCTCCCAGCAGCCCCGTCTCCTCGGTCACAGAGCCCACCCTCTCAGAGGCCACGAGACCTTTTCTGTAGCAGGACTTGTGTCCAGTGGATGTGGGATAGAGAGAGTGTGAGAGCAGAGGTGGGGAGGAAGGGAGGGAGAAGCCCTTGAAATAATGGGGATCCCGGTGGACGATCGTCAGCGCAGGAGGCAGCAGGGGACTCTTACCCTCTGCTTTGGGAGGCTCTGGTAGCACCTTCTGCGCTTCCAGCAGTCTCCCGTGGCCATGGTCAGTGATCTTGAGGACGAATCTGCCGTCCACTATACAGTTCCGTGACTTCAGCCGCCCATGAGCTACACCTCGATGGTGCAGATACCTTATTCCCTTCGAAGGGGTAGGGTAAGAGGCAACCTCAGCCCACATGGTTCCCCTGCTCCCCATCCCTTGTCCCTAGGACATCCCCCCACCACCCCCACCACCCCCACACCTTGATAAGGTCCAGCAGGAGGGAGGACTTGAACATCCAGTCCAACTTTATCTCTCTCTGAGTGAGGAGGTCCTGGAGGGAGCCCCGCGTGCAGTGTTCTGAGACCACAGCCAGGTTGCCCTCCCAGAGGGCGGCAGGGCCTTCCGCTCCCCGAGCCAGGAAGAGCCCCAGGTAGAGGGCCACGTTCTCGTGCCGGAGCTCCTGGAGCTGAGGGGGGAAAGCTGACTGGCATTCTCTGCCCAGGGGCAATGTGGGGAGGGGCCCTTAACCAAGATCTGTTTTTGACTACCCAAACTCAGAAGATGAGATTTTTACAAATGGTGATGAAATGGTCAATAGGGTATGCAGGGGGGCTCTCTCCTACACATAGCTCTTTCTTTGGAAAAAACAAAACAGTCAAAGGCCATCTGTTTGGATACTGAGTATGGTTTAGCCTAACGCTGTGAAGGAAAGGACAATCTTGCTTTGGTGATCAGGACGCAGGCAGGTTCGGATTTATTAACCCTAAGCCTTTTTTTTTTAGACATGAGGTCTCGCTCTGTTGCCCAGGGTGGAGTGCAGAGGCATGGTCATAAATCACTGCTACTTTGGAATCCTGGGTCCAGGTGATCCTCCTACCTCAGCCTCCTGAGTAGCTAGGACTACAGCCATGTGCCACCATGCCTATATAACATTTTTTAAACTTGGAGAGATGTGGGAGTGCAGGGGGAGGTCTCGCTATATTGCCCAGGCTGGTCTTGAACTCCTGGCTTCAAGTAATCCTCCCACCTCAGCCTCCCAAAGTGCTGGGATTATAGGCTCGAGCCACCATGTCCAGCCCCAACCATAAAACTTTGAACTGCCTGGGTCTTAGGGGAAACAACTCATGAAGGAGAAGCTCCTGGAACCACCATCCTCTCCTTCTTATATAACAGCCTTTGCTGGGAGAACCAGGGAGAAGCTCTGTCACTTTCGTTCTTTCTTTCTTTCTTTCTTTCTTTCTTTTTTCTTTTTTTTTTTTTTGAGACGGAGTTTCGCTCTTGTTACCCAGGCTGGAGTGCAATGGCGCGATCTCGGCTCACCGCAACCTCCGCCTCCTGGATTCAGGCAAGTCTCCTGCCTCAGCGTCCTGAGTAGCTGGGATTACAGGCACGCGCCAGAGTCTTACTCTCTCACCCAGGCTGGAGTGCAGTGGGGCTATCTCAGGTCACCTGCAACCTCTGCCTCCTGGGCTCAAGTGATTCTCCCGTTTCAGCCTCCCAAATAGCTGGGATTACAGGAATGCACCACCATGCCGGGCTAATTTTTGTATTTTTAGTAGAGACGGGTTTCACCATGTTGGTCAGGGTAGTCTTGAACTCCTGACCTCAGGTGATCCACTCGCCTCAGCCTCCCAAAGTGCTGGGATTACAGGTGTGAGCCACTGTGCCCGTCCTGAAGCTGTGCCACTTTCAGAGGACACCAGAAATGTCTTGTGCCTGCAGCCTGGCTGGGGGCTGCTTTGCTTGGTGTTACATCATTGTGTCAGTTAGGTCTGAGACTCCCACCCTCTCCGAGTTAGGGAAGACAGGACTGAGCACTCTGCAGGAAAGAGTGTCCTTGCAGTCTAGGCATGCTGGTGAAAATGGTGGCTTGCCAGCTGACTGGTGCCCTTTCTAGCTTTGCTTTGCTCCAAATGCCTAATAAGGGGCTACTTTTCATTTTAAACGCCTGATGTTAAATGGTGATCAAGTTCATTAATCCCTATACACACAGTCCACTTAAGTCACTGCACCTGTGACCAAGAGCTCCTGTAGAGAAATCAGAGAAGGAGGTGAAGCCAAGGGAGCACGGCGTGGAGGTAAAGGGAGACATTAAGGTTGTAAGGACCAGAACAAGCCATTTTAGAGCCTCCTTGACAACTTTCCACTTTACTCAGAACCTCTAGGACCATTCTGCACAAGTGGCCTGACAGAACTGAAACTTACTTTTTAGTTTCTATCATTAGCTCAACAAACATTCACTGGGTCGCTCTAATGTTCCAGACACTGTGTTTGGTGCTGGGGATGCAATGGAGGGGAATGAGGAGGCCCTCACTCAGCTTACAGTCCAGGAGAGAGGCAGAAACAAGCAGGCAGACAGACAAACATATAGTTACACATTGCAACAAGATCAAAGGAAAGAACTAGTGGTGTGACAGAGAATAATGAAAGCCTACTCCAGGGTGAAGGAAACATCTTTTTTTTTTTTTCCTTAATTTTGACAGCATCTTGCTCTGTCCACCCAGGCTGGAGTACAGTGGTACGATCACAGCTCATGGTAACTTCCAACTCCTGGGCTCAAACAATCCTCTCTCTTCACCCTCAGAGAGTAGCTGGGACTATAGGCATGTGATGCCACACCCAGCTAATTTTTAAATTTTTGGAGAGATGGGATTTCTTTATGTTGCCCAGGCTGGTCTTGAACTCCTGGCCTCAGGTGATCCTCCCTCACATCAACCTCTCAAAGTGCCAGGATTACACTCAGCCAGAGGGGAACGCTTCACTGAGACCTACCTCTGTACCCAGCTGCAAACAGAAGGCAAGAAGGGAGAAACCGATTGCCACCTAGGCCCCATCGCAGGCCCAATTCTCACCTTGGAGAAGGCTGTCTTAGTTGCCGGTCGGATAGCTACATGCTGCTCCCCTGGGAATTTCTTCAGCCAAACCCTGTCTCCCTGCAGCAAAGAGGATGGGGTTGGGAACTCAGTCTTTTAAAATTCCATGATGGGGAGCCCTAGAACCACCCTCCCCCATTTCCATTGGCTCACTGTCCCAGAATGCATCTTCCATGTGACAAAAAGCATTGAAGCAAGGGGTCTCATGTCTGCCCATCCACTTCACAGCCAGCTGGGAGAGGGCCCACCCCCAGATGACAGAGATTCAGAAGGCATGGATGGCTGTCCTCACGACCCCAGGTGTGCCCACCAACAGTCCTATTAAGTGAATTAATACAACCACAAATGTCATTGTCATCACAACCCTTATCACCATCCACTGCCATGAGACAGCATTGTTCCAGGTGTAAAAAATCTGGATAGGTCAGGCTTTACTGTAAACCAACTGAACTATAGACAGCTCCCCTCCAGGTGCTGGACCTCATCCTCAGCTGCGGGCAGGGCCAGTTCATGGGCATGGGACCTGTGCAGTCACACAGGGCCACATGCTCAGAAGGGCCCGAGCTTGGTTCAATGGCCTCTGCCATCATCTTGAATGAAGAAGGAGCCCCTCATTTCTATCCTGCCCTGGATCTCACTAATTATGCAGGTGGCCCTGTCAGTTTATAAGGGATTTGGACTAGAAGGGAATTGGGGTTTAATTCTGACCCCTAGGGAGCATTTGGAAATAAATGTGGGGACATTTTTAATTGTCACAAAAACTAGGAGCTGCAGTTAGTGGACAGAGCCAGAGACATGGAAACACTAAACATTCTTCAAGGCGCGCAGTAGTCCCATACAATTTAGGACAATCTGCTCCAAATGACAATAGTGCCTCCTCTGAGAATTTGCTTTGATGATCTCTGGGTGACATGATAGGAGCCTCTGCATTCCTTCCCACGACCTGGAGCCCAGGAGCTCCAACTTTCTACTGTCTTGGTTTGCTCAGTGCTCTCAGCTCTCTCGGAATCTGTTCTCATTTTCTCCCATCCACTTGACCACATGCAGGTTTCCTGGCCCCACAGTTAGTGTCCTAATATGTTTTTTGTTTTTGTTTTTGTTTTTTGAGACAGAGTCTTACTCTGTTACCCAGACTTGAGTGCAGTGGTGCTATCTCAGCTCACTGCAACCTCCACCTCTCAGCTTCAAACGATTCTCCTCCTTCAGTCTTCCAAGTAGCTGGGACTACAGGCGCATGCACACCTGGCTCATTCTTTGTATTTTTGGTAGAGACAGGGTTTCACCACATTGGCCAGACTGGTCTCAAACTCCTGACCTTGTGATCTGCCCACCTTGGTCTCCCAAAGTGCTGGGATTACAGGCCAATGTCCTAATACTTTTTCATGACTTTCTTTCCGCCATCTAGGGCTTGCTATTCCTGAGTCTGGTCTGGGCTGGGTGGTAATGCTGAGGGGGCAGGGCCAGAGGCTCTGACCAGGCAGGAGATGGCCTCAGTGGCCACACCAGGTTACATGCTGCTCTTAGCATGCTCCCTGGCAGCACCAGCCTCTGGTCTCTGGGTCACTGTGATTAGCCTTTGAGAAGCCCTCACCCAGGTAGTGGCTAGCGGGAAATCCGTGGGCAGGGAGATTCCCAGGTGCTTCCTTTTGAAGGATCCATGACCTTTCCCTAGATCCTGTCTGGGTTCCCGTGCCCCATCTCCTGGAGCCTGCAGGATTTAACATGACTGCCTGCCCTCTTGAGAATGTGCCTCGCCTCCGACCAGGGCCTGAGCATTCTTCCCCAACTGTCTCTCCTGGAGTAGAGCCCCGTCTGGCTGAGGTCAGGCTCACCTCATAGACACCAATGTTGGGGCTGTCTGAGGGTTGGCTGGGGCCACTGCGAATGTCTGATGTGCTGCGGGCAGCCAGACTTGATCGACTCCCCTGGGCCACCTAGTGGATAGAGGTCAATGCAAGAAGTCAAAATATATTTTGGTGTCAGAGTCCTGGGTTGAGGTCAGGCTGAGTTTTGGGGATTTAAAGATGGGAGTCGAAGGAATCTCAATGAGGGAAGGTGATACTGACATTACTCCCCAAGTGCCTCACTTTACAGTTTACAAAGCAAGGATTCATTTTCTTGTTGGAGCTTCACCTTCCCCCCCAGTAAAGTAGTGAGGACAGGGGCTGTTACCCTCATTGCACAGATGAGGATGCTGCTCCCTAGACCTCAGACCTGGGACAGAATTGGGGTAGAAATCAGACTTCCCAAGTAGGGTGCTGGGGTGAGGGCTGGCCCAGGGAAGGAAGCAAATGTACAGAAAGAAGACAGCTGGCTCCTGCCTCCCTGCTTCCCCCACCTTTCGAGAGGCACCCCCATGTGGGTGGAGAAAGGTGATGTCGTCCACAGTCAGGATGATCTTGTTGGGGCCGGAGACCATCTGAATGTGAAGTAGCTGGTGCCTGGTGGGGAAAGAGGTCATCTCCACCAAGGGGACCAAGGTCAGTGAGAAGAGGCCAGCAGGGGATGGGGTGGAGGGATAATGCTGGCTCAGGGGAGGGGTCTTGGAGGGCAGCCATCCCCAAACCAGATATCCCCTGGGATTCTACCAGCCTCGCCCCAAGAAAAATCTCCTCTTCTACTCTTGAGTGAACCCAGCCTGCTGTTTGTGCTGCAGACTTCCATTTTGGGTACAAGCTCACCTCCTCCTTACCTCATTCCACTACTCACCTCACATAATGGGCCAGCAAGGCACCAGCCAGCCCCATCCCAACCACCAGGAGGAAGCCAAGAAAGACGAGGCCCGGCTCCAGTCCTGAAGGGACAGTGAGAGGAGGTATACTAAGGAATAGCCATGAGAGGCCTCTTCTCGAAGGAGGCATGGAGTCATGGCAAATGCTAGAGCCTCCAGGAAAGAGGGATAGGGGCCCAGAGAGGATCTAGGGGGAGGTCATAGGTTCCTCAAAGGGGAGATTCTGGGAAAGCTAGAAAGTTTCCAAGAGGGCTTTGGAGTTCAGCGAGAGAGGAGTCCTGTGCAAGCCAGGGGTTAGGAGAGGACCCAGAAGGCCATCAAAGATGGATTACAGGACAGGAGTCCATCCTCTGTCACCACTTTGTGGATGGTCCATGGTGATTGTCTCAGTGGGGGCTGGGGTGTTTGCCCTCACCTCCATCGCAGATGTTGTTTGGATCGAACCAGCATGAAGGGTCAGGCCCGGGTGCTGGTCCCCCACGCGGGAAATGCATCGGTGTCCCCGCAGAGAGGAGGGAGCCCCGGGCAGGATTCAGCATGTATGTGGCAAAAAGCTGGTCCCCTGCTGCGTCCGTGTCTAGCAGCACGAACGAGGGTTCCTCGTCTCCTCCTAGGTCCCCGCAGAAGCCAGGGGCCTGCGCATCCCAGACATGGCGGGCCACAGCTGCTCCGGACACCCATCTGCCCCCCGCGGCCGCCCGCGCGTCTGCCACGCCCCTTGCCAGCAAGACGACCGCATCGTAGATGGTGCCAAAGAGTGGGGAGACCTGGAGAAGGAGAGTAGGGGCTCAGAGGTCGGGGTCACAGCCCACAGACAGACCAGAATTCCCTGGCCAGCCAATTCTTTCACTGCCCTTCAAGCCCAGGGTGTCCACTCTTCCCACCTTCCTGGTAGTTGTTCCCAGGATCCCTCCCCATTGGGTATCTCTTCCTCCCTCCCCACTAGCTAATTCTTTGTCTCTCCCCATTGGCCAACTCTTCATCCCTTTCCATTGGCTGTCTCTTCCTCCCTCCCCTATTGGCTGTCACACCTGCTCTCCCCACTAACTGGTTCCTCTTTTCAGGACTCAGCGTCTTCTCTGACCATTGGTTGATTGTAACTCTCCATCACCTATAGATCCTCTCTCCTCCTTGTTGGTTACCCAGCATATACTTTTAATCTCATCATCTCTCATTCACCTAAAAGTCTTTTCAACGTAACTTTTGGTTGGCTTCTATTTTCTATTTTTCCTTAAAAAACAAAACAAAACAAAACAAAACACAAAACTTCTCCACTGTTACCACTCGATCTTATCAGGCTTCTCTATTATTCCCAGTTCCCATCTCTCAGAGAGCCAGACACTGTGAGAGCACTAAAGATTTATCAGTGTACAAGGCAGACCCCATCTCAAGGAACCTTTCTTCTTGCCAAAGAGATAGGAGTGTTTAGACAGTGCCATGAGTAAAAGTAGGGGAAACTGAGAAAGTAGCAGAGGCAGGAATGAATGTCCCCAATCCAGGCTGGAGAAAGAAGAGAAGTGACCATCCCTCAGGGGATGAGTCAGAATGATCCAGGGGAGGCAGGGACAAGAGAGAGGGAAGAGCACATTCAGAAACTCAGAGGCAAAAGAGGAGGACACATTTAGAGAAACCGGAATAGCTTGGTCTGGCTGAAGTTCATGGAAGGTGGGAAGAGAAAGAAAGATATGAGACCTGGTAGGCCATGTGAAGAAACCCACATCTATCCAGGGCAACAGAAGCCACTAGGAGGCTTTGAACAGGGGCATGACAGGGTGAGATCTGTCAGATTTCTAAAGCTTGATTTGGTTGTTGGATGGAGAAGGGTATGGGGCAGGTGAGTGTTGAAGCAGAGACCATTTGAGAGATTATGTTTTGGGATTTGCGCTGGTGGTGCTGTGGCCTGAATCAGGGCAGTGGCAGTAAGGATGGGGAAAGTGGATGAATCCAAATGATCTTTAGGAGGTAACAGTAACCGGGCTTGATGTGTGAAGTGGGGCCAGAGTTCAAGGAATCAGGGGTAACTCACAAGCTCAGAGGCTTGGGCAGCTTGGGCAGCTGAGGGGACAGCGACGGTACTTCCTGAGAGCTGAAGAGCTTTTCTCTCTACTTTCTCCGCCTCCCTTTCTCCACTGACCGACCCTCCCTCCATCCCGTGATTCCTAACTTGTATTCTCTTCTGACTAGTCCCATCCCTCCCACTCCCTTTCCATTGGCCACCTCAAATCCTCTTGGAGGCATCTAGGGGCATTGGTGGGAAATATTGCAACCCCTAGGACCCATAGCCTTCTCTCATGTAGTCCCCTGTAAGTTGGGCCTTTGTGGTGGTTAATTCACTGCTCATTGACATCTAAATTTCCTTCTTATAGTGGCTTCTAGCCCCCTTTGTGGCGGAGTGAAGTTAGATGGTCTGAACTGGGATTCTGTGGACTAGGGGAACCCTAGATATTAGTTGGATGTTGGAATACGCTATGGATCTGATTAGCGTTGCCCCTGGATCCACCCAGTGAATTTTCTGCTTCTTGCAAGGTGTCTAGGCCCTTGAAAAGTTAAGACCACCAGATGAGGCCCCAGAGGAAAGATCTCTGAACTAGGGATGAAGGTTGGATTGGCATCCTCCCTCCTTCCTGCTCTCTTGAGAATGCCAGCTCTTTATTATAGCCAGCTGGGAGTATGTGGCGCTGGAACTGGGTTTACTCTGAAGCCAGTTGCAAAACGTTTTGCAGCCTAGAGTTCATTAGAGTTTACTGCTCGACGCTGGACGTCAGAGGTCTCATTGCCTACTCTCTGCAGACAATCCCGGTACACAGAGAGACCCCAAGCAGGGCCAGAGCCTCTACATTACCTAGGAAACTCCAAACAGCTAGAACCGCCATTGGTTCTTTCTCCGCTGGCTCCATCCTCCTCCTTCTCATTAACTCTAGCCTCCTCTCCCCGCTTTGGCTGTCCTCTCCCCTCTGCCGTGCCTTCTGCCCTCCTCCCAGGACCGTCTACCTGCTGCAGATTGAGGTCAGAGGGCAGCTCGCGGCGCTGCTGGGCCTTGTGCAGGCTGTCCAGCACGCTGCCTTCAGAAGGACAGTGGCGCGTGAGGGTGAGCACGGCGTCATGGGCCCTGCGAAGCTGGGAGCTGTTGGCGAGTGCGGCTAAGGCCTCCCGACCTGGGGACAAGGCGTAGTGGATCGTGTCGAAGGGCAGGAAGACCAGGGAGCCGTCGGTCAGGCCCAGCTCCTCTGCGGCCTCCAGGAGGTAGCGCTGCTCCTCGCCGCCGAGCAGCACCGAGTGCATCACCATGATCACTGCTGCGGACAGAGGCTTGGCTCGCATCGCCGCCCGGCTGCCGGCGGGACCCACCGACCTCCTCGCACCCTGCAGGGGAGCCTACCTGTGACCCTGGGCCCGTTCCGAACCTTCCTCAGGGCCTCCCGGGCTCCAGACAGGTCCAAGGGCTCTATGGAGGTCACGGAGACGACGGGCAGGCCCCGGGCCCTGAGTGCCGTGGACAATGAGAGTCCCGCCTCCACCCACAGGTCCTGGGGGGCGGTGACCAGGGCCACGCGCGCCCAGCCGAATGCGCGAAGCAGGGCGTAGAGGGCGTCCGCGGCCGGGGTCACTGCAGGGGCCGTGGTACCCGCCGCCTGCGTCCCAGGGCAGCCCCAGGGCACCAGCGCGATTCCCGCTTCCTCGGCGAGCAGCTCGGCTGGCCTGCAGGCTGCAGGGTTCACTGGACCCACGAGGCCCGACACGCGGGCCAGCGCGGAGGACACGGCCCCTAGCGAGCCCGGCGTCCGGCACGGCTCGGGCAGCAGCGCGACCTCGAAGCGGGGGCCGCCGGCCAGACTGGGGTCGCGGTTCAGGCGGGCGGCGGCCAGGCGGGCGGCCAGGTCCGGGCGGGCCCTGGAGAAGATGGGGTCGCAAGCCCAGGGGCCCAGGACCCCGACCGTGAACACAGCGGAGAGGGCGGAGGGCTGCAGGAGGAGCAGAAGCAGCAGGAGCGGGAGCCTGGGCAGCGCCCGGGGGAGGCGGGACAGGGCCGGAGCCCACCGCGCGGGGCCGCAGAGCTCGGGGTCCGGAAGCCCACCCGCTCGGCGGGCGCAGGCGGTCATCGCCGGCTTCTGCGAACACAGACGGAGCAGGTTGAGCGACGGAGACTCCCGGCCTCCCTTAGGGCTCTCCCCGCGAACCCGAGTTTCTCCAAGCCCAGGAACCCATGGGATGATTCTGCGGAGGCTGGGGAGACTAACCCCCGGCCACGCACACCGCGCCGGAGCCCCCTTTGCTGCCCAGGCCTCCCGCTCCCACCCGGTCTGCCCCTCCCCCCGTCGGAGGCATCGGGGGTCAGCAAGGACTCGCCTGCGCCCTCGGACCGACCCTATCCCAGCGGAGGGGCCTCTGACACTCACCGGGAAGTCCGGGGCTCGGGCCCACGGCCCCGGTGAGGGGTCACAGGGCCGGTCCCCCTTTTGACGCCCGCCCACAGGTCTTCCTTGCCAGCCCAGGCCAGGGCGGGGGCGTGGGTACAAGCCGGCCAGAGCCCTTAATCTCCCCAAGCTGATTAGGGTCCTTAATTAGGCAGGGAGGGGCGGGCTAGTGGAGGATGAGAGCCCCTACTGTGCCTTTCTGGGGTGGGAATCTGTCCTGGCTTCCAGGTAGTCAGTCACATCCTTTCCCCTCCATGCTCTCTAGCCCCCCACATCACCCTCATCACCACTACCTCTGCGCAAAAGCAGCCGCAGGACCCCCTTTCAGCCTGCGGCCGCACTGCCCTACTCAGCTAGAAAGTGCCAAGTGCCTGCCCATGGACAGCTGTGGGTGATCCGTTCTGGAGAAGAAACTCTGATCCCAGTCCCTTTCCTTACAATCTTCTGTTTCCGATCCTGCCAGCTAAGTTCAAACTCCATCCTTTGGTTGGTAAAGTCTGTATCCCAGAGACCAAACGCCCACCAAGCTGACACCTGCCTTTCTCCTCTGACTTCTCTCTCTCACCACACTTGATTCCCTGACCTCTGCTTCTCTATGCATAGAAAATCACTTCTTTGGCAGGACCTCAGGAAGTAAGGAAAAGAGCTTTGGCCTACCACAGACTTGGGTTCAAAGACCCTTTGACTGGCTTTTGGAGCTTCGGCAATTGCTTAATCTGAGGGTTGTTGTGAAAATGAATGTAATTGCCCAGATGGCAAGAATAGCTAACAATTTTAGAGAAGAATATAATGGAAGATGCCCTATAAGATATACAAATCTATTATAAAGCAATAGCAATTATATATTTATGTAAATATATAAAACATAGCAATTATATTATATAAGTGTATAATATATAAAATAACAATTATATAATTATATATTGATATAAATATATACAAAGCTATAGTAATTATATTTACATAAATATACATTATGAAGTGATACCAATTGTCTAAAAAAATATATGTATTATAAAGCTATAGCAATGAAGACTTTGTAGTTTTGGTACAAGGATAAACAAACAGACCAATGAAATAGAATATATAGTACTGAAACAAGAACAGCAAATGTATGAAGTAGTGGACATTTCTTACCAATTGGGAAAGAATGAACTCCAACAAATGGAGCTGATTAGTCATCTGGGGGGAATATAGAATTCAATCCCTATCTCGCACCACACACAAAATTAATTCCAGGTTAAAGACCTACATGTGAAAAATGAAACTTAAAAACTTTGAGATGAATCATTTTCAGACATAGTGGCAAAGATTGGATCAGGTAAGAATCATCAGTGGATTTGAATGCTGGGGGAAATGTTGGATGAGGAGCAGGACTTTTTCAGGGTCTAAAAGTATCTCCCTGCAGATTGCCATGAGCTGGAAAGAGAGGGGGAAATAAAATAAAAAGCAGTTATTGGCCGGGCGCTCTGGCTCAAGCCTGTAATCCCAGCACTTTGGGAGGCCGAGGCGGGTGGATCACGAGGTCAAGAGATCGAGACCATCCTGGTCAACATAGTGAAGCCCCATCTCTACTAAAGGTGCAAAAAATTAGCTGGGCATGGTGGCACGTGCCTGTAATCCCAGCTACTCCGGAGGCTGAGGCAGGAGAATTGCCTGAACCCAGGAGGCGGAGGTTGCGGTGAGCTGAGATCGTGCCATTGCACTCCAGCCTGGGTAACAAGAGCGAAACTCAGTCTCAAAAAAAAAAAAAAAGCAGTTATTGTACAGTGGAGAAATAGGGCAACACTTTGAGCAGGTGACCAAAATTAACCAGTGAGGGGCAGAGAGACATTCTGTGCCTCCAGATGTGATACCCTGAGAAGGACATAATACTGTATCTATGCAATGCTGCACAATATATTTGTGCGATGTTCCAGCATTATTTCAAATCTAATCAAAAGGAAACATCAGAGAAACACTAAATGAGAAAGGTTCTATTAAAAAAGGTGGGGAGGACCACATTCTTCAAAAATGTCAATGTCATAGAAGGCAAATAGAGGTTGAAGAACTGTTTCAGATTAAAGGAATTTAGGCTGGGCGTGGTGGCTCACACCTGTAATCCCAGCACTTTGGGAGGCCGAAGCGGGCAGATCACCTGACATCAGGAGTTCAAGACCAGCCTGACCAATATGGAGAAATCCCGTCTCTACTAAAAACACAAAATTAGCTGGGCCTGGTGGCACATGACTGTAATCCCAGCTACTTGGGAGGCTGAGGCAGGAGAACTGCTTGAACTCGGGAGGTAGAAGTTGAGGTGAGCCAAGATTGTGCCATTTCACTCCAGCCTGGGCAACAAGACGAAACTCCATCTCAAAAAATAATAATAAAAAAAATAAAAATAAAGGAACCTAAAAAGATGTGACAATTATTTTTAATAACTGCCCTTAGTTTGGATCCTGTGTCATTGGATTTTTTTAAAGTGCTATAAGGTTATCGGGCTTGAGGCCAGGCACGGTTGCTCACGCTTGTAAGCCTAGCACTTTGGGAGGCCGAGGTGGGCAGGTCACTTGAGTTCAGGAGTTCTAGACCAGCCTGGCCAACATGGTGAAATCCCATCTCTACTAAAAATACAAAAAATTAGTCAGGTGTGGTGGCATGCATCTGTAATCCCAGCTTCTCAGGAGGCCAAGGCAAGAGAATCACCTGAACTTGGGAGGCAGAGGTTGCAGTGAGCCGAGATCATACCACTGTACTCCAGCCTAAGCAAGGAAGCAAGACTCCATCTCAAAAAAAAAAGTTTATAAAAATGCTACAAAGAACATCAGCATTAACACAAAAATTAACAATTGACAAAACTGGAGTATCACGGAGACTCAAAACAGTGTAAAGTTATGAAGTTAGTAACGGTAGTGTAGTTATGTCAGACTATCCCTGTTCATAGGAAATACACACTATTTAGTGGTAAAGTATCGTATATGTAACTGACCCACAAGTAGTCCAGAAAAAATACATGTTAGATATGATATATACTAAGTTGTATATATTATCAATTTCAAATGATAAACAAATGGAGTAAAATGCTAACGATAGGTGAATCTGGGTAAAGAGCCCGTGAGTGTTCTTTGCATGATTTTTATTTTTGCAACATTTTTTAAGTTTGAAATTATTTTCAAATGAATTAAAAATTTTAGATTATAGAATTCAAAGAAAGTAGATCTGCTTTGAAGAAAGAACAAATAAAAACATAAGGAAACAGAAAAATTAAAAGCGGAAATTTTAAAGAGAAAAAGTACATAGATTGGAAAGACATCTTTATCAATTCATGGTAGGAATGGATTTATTAAGCAAGATAGATAGGCCAGGCATGGTGGCTCATGCCTGTAATCCCAGCACTTTGGGAGGTCGAGGTCGGCAGATCATATCTACATGTGGCAAAATACAGACATCTATTAATTTTTGGTGGTAAACAATTGCTGTATGTAGGGATTTTCTGTATGCTTGAAATGTTTTCTTCCTTTCTTCTTTTTTTTCTTTTTTGAGATGGAGTCTCGCTCTGTTGCCCAGGCTGGAGTGTAGTAATGCGATCTCGGCTCTCTGAAGCCTCTGCCTCCCGGGTTCAAGCAATTCTCCTGACTCTGCCTCCCAAGTAGCTGGGACTACAGGTGCACACCACCACAACCCAGCTAATTTTTTGTATTTTTAGTAGAGACGGGGTTTCACTGTGTTAGCCAGGATGGTTTTGCTCTCCTGACCTGGTGATCTGCCCACCTCGGCCTCCCAAAGTGCTGGGATTACAGGTGTGAGCCACGGCAACCGGCTTTAAAATGTTTTCTAATTTAATTTTTTTTTTTTTTTTTTAAATAAAAAGTTGGCCGGGCGCGGTGGCTCAAGCCTGTAATCCCAGCACTTTGGGAGGCCGAGGCGGGTGGATCACGAGGTCAAGAGATCGAGACCATCCTGGTCAACACGGTGAAACCCCGTCTCTACTAAAAATACAAAAAATTAGCTGGGCATGGTGGCGCATGCCTGTAATCCCAGTTACTCAGGAGGCTGAGGCAGGAGAATTGCCTGAATCCAGGAGGCGGAGGTTGCGGTGAGCTGAGATCACGCCATTGCACTCCAGTCTGGGTAACAAGAGAGAAACTCCGTCTCAAAAAATAATAAATAAATAAATAAAATAAAATAAAATAAAAAGTTTAGATGTCTGACCTATAGCAGAATTCCAAATTCCAGTAGGCGACAATACCTTCCATGGGAAGTTACTTCCCCACATCTCCCATCTTCTGACTCAACATCTCTACTTGAAATCCTGGAAACTCCAGCCAACTCTTTCATTTCACATATGGTGAGAATGAGGTCCAGAGGCCAATTTGGTTAAATCAATAATCTCGCAACTTTCTTCTAAGGTCCATGGACTGATGGGTAATATAGATAAAGATGAAGCGGGGATTTTTAAAAACTTTTTTGGTCATAAAATACAGTAAATATAAATTTTACCACTGTAATATTTTTTAAGTGTACAATTCAGAGGAATTAAGTACATTCACATTGTTGTGCAGCCATCACCACGGTCCATTTCCAGAATTTTCCATCTTACCCATTGAAACTCTGTGCCCGTTAAATACTAACTCTCCATTTCCCCCTCCCTCCAGCCCCCAGCAACCACAGTTCTATTATTTTTTCTTTTTCTTTTTTAGAGACAGGGTTTTGCACTGTTGCCCAGGCTGGAGTACAGTGGCACGATCTCAGCTCACTATAGCCTCAACCTCCTAGGCTCAAGCAATCTTTCCACCTCAGCCTCCCAAGCAACTGGGATTACAGGCGTGTGCCACTCACTATGCCTGGCTAATTTTTTGATTTTTGGCAGAGATGAGGTTCTTACTATGTTGCCTAGGCTGGTCTCCGGCAGAGATGAGGTTCTTACTATGTTGCCTAGGCTGGTCTCCAACTCTGGGCTCAAGCGATCCTCCCACCCCAGCCTCCCAAAGTGCTGGGATTACAGGTGCGAGCCACTGCCTCCACCATTCTTCTTTCTGTCCTTATGAATTTGACTACTTAGCTACCTCATGTAAGTAGAATCATACAGTATTTGTCATTTTGTGTCTTTTTATTTCACTTCGCATGATATTTTCAA